TCTGGTGGTACCAGCAGTCACAGTCATCACATTGCACCCAGTGGATGAGCGGGTCATCAGGATGAAGACGAACTGCTGCAGCACATGACTGCGTCACCTCAAGGTCATCACGGTTAACATCAGAGGAAGGCAAAGCGGATGCATTGAGTGTGGGTGGGGTCTGAGAACATGATGCAAGGAGGGGGGGGACTTGGAGAGCCGTGGTCATGCTCACTAGCAGCCGACACTTGGGCAACACCGACCACATGCGTCACGTTGGGAATGCGTGACAATACGTCTGGTACATTGTGCTGGGACCTAGGTCGGTAGAAAACATCAAACTGGAATTCCTGGAGGCGGAGAACCCAACGTGCCAAACGACCAGTGAGCTTCGTCTTCCGAAATAACCAACAGAGTGCCTGTGGTCAGTGACCACACGGAATCTTTTCCCTTCAATATGGGGGCGCCATTTTTCTAACACCCACACAACTGCCAAGGACTCCTTTTCAGTCGTACTGTAGTTTCTTTCGGCAGGGCTGAGGGACCGACGGGCGAAAGCAAGGACACGCTTCACCTGGTTGTCAGATTGGAAGAGAACACCGCCAAGCCCAACATCACTTGCGTCCGTGTGGACTACAAAAGGTTTGTCAGGGTCAGGGTAAGCGAAGATTGGGTCGGTGGTAAAGCAACTGCTTCAGACGGTCAAACGATGACTGGCAGGCATCTGACCAATGCCACTGGGTTTTCTTCCGACGGAGCTTGTGCAGTGGCCCTGCGACAGTAGCGAAGTCTGTGATGAATTTATGAAACCATGACACCATTCCGAGAAATCTCTCAAGTTGCTTGACAGTAGTAGGCTCCGGATGCGACAAGATGGCTGACACCTCTGGGTTTGGCCTGATTCCATTTTTGTTGATCAAGTGACCAAGGTAGCTCATTTCACGGCAGGCAAAACTGCATTCTCTTTGTTGACTGTCAGACTGTCAGTACCTCACATTAGGCAAGGAGGTGGTCCTGTAGGTTAGGCGAATAGACAACAATGTCATCAAGGTACATATAACATGTGCGCCCGATGAGGTCGCCCAATAACGTAGACATCAGTCCTTGAAATTCGCTGGGCCAATCACCATGCCAAAGGAAGTACGCGAAATTGGAACAACCCTTCAAATGAAAGCTGTCTTTTCCACATCTGCCGGGGCAATACCCACCTGCCAATATTCAGAACGAAGATCAAGAGCAGTGAATATCTGGGCACCATGTGGCGAGTCCAGAATTGAGTCGATGGTTGACATAGGAAAGGCGTCAAGTTTGGTGACGGAATTGAGGCCTCGGTAGTCTACACATCCTATATGAACCAGACTTCTTCGGGACCATTATGACATGGGCTGCCCAAGGGGAAGAAGAAGGTTCAATCTTCCCAGATGACAGAAGTGAATCAAGCTCTGCCTGCAATGCTTACTTACGGTCTATTGACAAACGGTAAGGACGAGAGCGAACCGGAGCGGCATCGCCAAAGTCAATGTGATGTAGAGCAACATCAGTATGGCCGGGCAAGCCTGAAACCACTTCTGGAAACTCGCCGAGGAGATCCTGCAACTGACGATACTCAGCCTTGGTCAGCGTAGGATCTTGGAGGGTTGCCATTGGCGTAGGAGCCTCATCTTCCATCTTCTCACCTGGCTCGGGGATGGTGGCCTGGTTGAGTGGAAGAATTCCTTGGATTGGAAATTGTACACGGGGACCGTCACCACGGTCAAACCAGAAACAGCTTCGACTAATGTCGAGGACCAGATTGGAGGCTCTGACAAAGTCGATGCCCAACAGAATTGGGGTAGGTAGCAGGTGGACACGATGGAGTGTGAAATTCACAGGTTGTCCACCTACATCAACAGGCAATATGATTGTCCCCAGCATAGTTAATTCTGTCCCGTCAAGCAAAGTGAGTGTCTCGACAGGGGTTGGGGTCTAGCTTGAGACTGGAGGTTATTTGATTTACGATGCTAAATAAGCTCATCAGCTGCCTTGGCTGCTTCCACCAGGGAAGTAAATTTTTTTTCTCTTAGTTTCAGCCAAAGTTGTTCACCCCCAATGACAGACAAAAACTGATAAGTCAAGACAAGATGGAATGCTTTTTTGTATCTGGATCGTTCTGCTTCTCCTTAGGAAGTTGAACCCATTTGTAGAATTTCCATTCAAGACGGTGAGCAAACTTCTCAAATGTTTCATCTGATTTTTTTTACATCAGTTTTGTATTTCACCCGATAAGCTTCGGGAGTCAAGAAGTAACGTCGGTAGATGACTTCCACAATCTTATCATAATCTTGTTTATCAGCATCGCTCAAAGAATGGAAAGCCTTCTGGGCTTTGCCAGTGAGATAGGGCTCTAATAATCGCGGCCACTGATCTCTTGATTTTTGGCCGCTGTGGAAAGACGCTCAAAAGTGCTCAAATAACAAGCTACATCATCAACAGTCCCTAACATATGAAAGTCGGGCAATGTGGGGCCGACATTCACGACAGGAGGTGTTTTTGCAGCCTCGGCAACAGCGCTTGCAAGTGACTGACACAATCTCTCTGTGTCTTGGCGTCGATTGGTTTCCAACTCTTGGATAACTTTAAGCAGATCGATGGTTTCTACACTCGGTTTTGCTGGGGGAGATTCTTCTTCCATGTGTGGTAGATCTGCAAGGCATGCAGCACGATCTTGTTTGGTCTTGATGACCGTTACATCTATATGGTTTAATTCACAAAGTCTGCCAATATGTTCGGTAGTAAACCGACTGAGGTAAGTCGTTTTATCCATGGCTTTGACATAGGAATGGCTGAAAAAAATCATCTAGATAAACAGCACAGCAATTAATAATAATAATAATTTATTCACTTTTAAAGCGCAAATTTCATATGGATATGTTCAAATGCGCTGTACAATGAAGACATTAAGCGTGGAACAATGAATACATTTAAACATGGTTGAGCCGATGGCACACAAGGGCGCCTCAGGCAGCCGCCAAACGACCCACATTCGAACCCGGGACCACAGAGGTGGAAGGCGAGGAAAGAACTACCTTGCCAACCTGACTCCCCAACTGACACCAGTTTCTGGCTTGCTACTATACTCAGATTGATCGCTATCTGGCAACCAAATCACTAAGTCCTTTGACAGTCCTGCCGACTACGCCAAATTGTAACGGGCCAAGTTACTTTAAGGAACTGTCTACACAGGAACTCATGATTGGAAAGATCTCACCGGATTAGGCCTTATTCTTCTTGACACCATGGACACACAATAAACACATAAACGATTGACTCGGCGCCATGTTGCAGGAAGCCCGTCCTCCAAGCATTCCTTACGATACAAAGTCAAGGGTCACCCATCTAATATGTAAATGGGGTAAGTGTAATATGTCCGCTACAGTAGAATGTTGAGCATGACCAGACCCTATCTTGGTACGGTTTACTACATCATTAAATACATGGGCCCCAGTGCTGGCTAGTACCATGCTACTAGTTAAAGCGTGGTTAAAGTATGGCGGCTATCACCCCCCCCCATGTTGTCGATAGGCTAATGTAGATCTTTCACCGCTGTTAGAGTGAATGTGCCAGTGGAATAGGTATACGTATGCAGTCCGAAAAGCTCAATCACATAATCCAGTTGAACAGGTTCCTGCAGCACATTTTTCCAGCCACAAGTGAAGACTTTTCTGTTGTCCGTATGTGGTGGTTCTAGGCCTAATTGTGTTTAATTTGTTTTTTTTTTGGGAGGGGGGTGGATGTGACTCTTTGGAGCCTGGATACCTGTCCCCCCCCACCACCACCAGTCCATACCAAATTAAAAGAAGACAAGCGGTTTAATGAAAATAATGTTCAATTTGTTTTCTTGCCAGCTGGCCCGTCCGGTGTAAGTGGAGACATTTGGACAGTATGGCTGAGCCGTCCACCGGTTCCAGCAGTAGGCCTACTACATCTGTTGCTCCAAGTGACGACTCGTCTGACGTCCAGGAGAACTATGGTGTGACCGTAATGCAAACCAGTAATGAGGTTGGCTGCAAGAAATGGGACAAGAAACACTTATGCTTTTTCTGCGATGTACCCCAGGCCAAGCTCCCCTGTCATCTCCTGTCATGTCTCAAGGAAGAAAGAAAAGTCGTCGAGATCGCTGGTGAGCCCAACGCCAGTGTGCGTAAGAAACTTCTGTTAAAAATTCGCAATATAGGTAATCACAGGTACAATTATCAGGTTCTTTGTGAAAGTCGTGGTGTGCTCGTTGTCGGGTACAGGCCAAATCGCAAGGTATCTCCCGTGCATGTGGACCATGCGTATATTGTTACGGCTAGTGCGTACCGGTTTGTGGCGACACGTGTGCCCTTTGAAGCCAGCATTCACTCCACCGACTGACAGCACCGGTAAGAGGGCTCGTGTGGGTGTACGGGTCGCTCACAAGAGTGATTTGTTGAAACCTCCTCCTGTTGGCGTGTCGTTCCTGTTACACCAGGTTCTTAGTCCAATGATGAGAGATGATGTGGCATTGGTAGTCAAAAATGACACGTTGATTGTTGAATTAAGCCAAGCGTGAATACATGAAACTAGGGCACGATGTAGATCAGCATGGCTACATCCGTAACAGGGTACGTGAATTGGGTCGACTCGTCATACAGCTCCAAAGGAACACCCAGCAACCAAATGCTTCACTCGAATCATTTGTCCATCTGCACCACCTTTCTGATATTGTGAAGGCCGTGCACGATATTGCCGGCTTCAGGGAAGATGAACAGTTGTATGATGTCCCGTCACTAGCGCTGAAGATTGGTTATTCCGTCAAGAAGTGTGCACTCGTCTTGAAAGGAAGTGCCCTAGAGTCCGGCCAAAAACACAACTTGAAAGCGGAACGTGCGGAAGACTTTTTGCAGTTGTGTGAATTGAACTGGCGAGACCTTGTGTCCACACACGCACACAGAATGCTATACCAAGGAAAACGCAACAAAGTCACCATTTCCCGACAAATGCAGGTGTAGTCCACCTGTCGTCGTTCCTTCATGAAGCTGGCAACCGGGAACTTCAACTCCTGTAGGGTGCTCGGGGCAGACAAATCGGGCCAGTTTGGCAGACGTTGAATGAGGTCAGTCTGTGCCACCTCATCGTGTTCAACCGAAGAAGGCAGAGGGAGGTTTCAACAATGAAACTTGAAGATTTCCACAAGCACAGCACCGCCAAACTGGAGGGGGAATGCCTGTCGAGTGATTTAGAACGCCAGCTGTGCAAGATGTTCCGTGTTGTCGAAATAGTCGGCAAGAGAGGCAGAACTGTTCCCGTGCTTCCGAGCAATGAGGCAGTGGCATGGTTTAATGCCCTTGTCGCCAAGAGACATGAAGCTGGAGTAGCCCAAGACAACAACTTCTTGTTTACACGCTTTTGTTATGGCGGGAGAGGGCACATACGAGGGAGTGACTGTTTAAGGGCACATGCAGATAAGGCTAGCCTTGACAATGCATCCAGCATCCGGTCCATCAAATTCCGTAAACATGTAGCAACTGCATCGCAAATTCCTGCATTAAAGGAACATCAGCTTGAAACTCTAGCCAACTTCATGGGCCATGATCTGAGGGTACATCGCGAATACTACCAGTTGCCAGATACTGTACAACGGGTCACCAAACTGTCCAAACCTTTCCTGAGTTTGGAGAGGGGCAACCTGCCTTCCCAGCAGGGCAAATCCTTGGACGATCTGCATGTAACTGGAGGTAAGGGCACCTTGTACTCCAACCATGTTTCCCATTTTCCGTCGACCCAACGCTTGACTTCGAACCAAGTCAACCCAACCCAGACTCCCACTTTGTAGGGCATCATACTCGGCCGGAAACAATACCTCTCTTCCTATTCACCCCCCCTCCCGGAAGAACAGACCAGTACAAAGAAAGAAGGGGACCAAAATCAGCCAATAAATGTATCTCGCGTCATGAACTCCCAAAATAATGTTCCATTTTGGCCGGCCACCTCCCCCCCATTCCCAACGTCAAGCAGAGACTGCCAGACACCCGTGCATATATGTGTGCATTAACTGATAAATCTCAATTTGGTGTTTACTCTCAGAAGGCTTCACCAGTGAAGAGGACAGCAGCGACAGTGGGGACTGCAGTGACAGCAGTGAAGACTCCTGCGATGAATCCGTCGAAAACGGTAAGATTTGGTCTGTCTGTTGGGCTGTCTGTCTGTTACGCTGTCGGGCTGTCTGTCTGTCACATGGACAGGCTGTCTGCTGAGCTGTCACCTACACTTCTAATGTCCTTTTCTTGCCTCTACATTAATAGGACAGCTTCCTGGTGTTGCTGCTGCATCACGAAGAAGGGAACCCTCTCCGCCATCGAGACAAATGAAGCGCCGTCCCTGGACACAGCGGAGAAGATAGACGTCCAAGAAGGCCTGCGCAAATTCTTCCAGTTGAGGAAAGTTCTTGGCAAGCTGGACATCGAAGCAGCTTGCACTGTAGCGCTGCAGACCCGTGTTTGGAAAAGCATCAAAGACTTTTGTCGTAACACAATGAGGTGGTAGCCAAGTTAAGCTATGATACGCCACACCACCCATTCTCTCGAGACATTATACCATATTGACGACGAACCCTATAGCAGTAGGCCAATAACGCAACCTATTTTTAGCGGCCCAAACAACCAAGAACTTGTGTGTGTTGTCATCGGTGTTATAGGCTGCACTCTCATGGACGAGAAGTCCTGCGTCTGATAGTTTGGAAAGTATGCCCTCCATCTGCAGTGTCTACATGTATACGTGTGTAAACGCCTGCAATCATTGACTCCCTATTGTTCCTCTTTTGTTCATACTAACTTTTTCGGAAGACCTCCCACATGTTTTGTACACGTTTTCCAACCCCACAGTTTCTTCGGCAGCCATGGACCCTATTGCCCCCTATTGTTATAGGTCCACGATTTGAATGTGTAGGCTACACAAACTCACTTGTGTGTGTGGGTGAGTTTGTTTCTGCATTCAATACGGCCGTTTCACAATAGTGCACCACCAAGAGTTCGCAACGCGTTGGCCAATCACAATGTGCGAAGTTTGTCGACCCAGTGCGCGTCTGGAAAGGGTCGACAAATTTCGCGCGTTATGATTGGCCAACGCATTGCAAACTCTTGGTGGCGTACTATTGTGAATCACCCGTATTGGGTACCCTAAACAATAGAGGACATTAAGGTCCCCGATTGACAGAGGGTCCACGATTGACAACTATGTACAAAACATATGGGTGGTCTTCTAAAAAAAGTTAAAATACAAACAAAAGAGGAACAGTGGGGGTCCCCAGTTGCTGGCAAATACACACTTGGGTGTGTGGGGAGGGGGGGTTCAATTAGCCTGCGACATCTTTGCTTTTATTTTTATGTCATAGTATTTTCTTAGCGTTATGGGGCTGACGTTTAATAAATATATTGTAAATGTAGATGTATATTTCGTTTACTTTTTCCAATGAAGTATTCTTTCTTTCAACCACTCCAACCAGCCCAATTTTATTGCGTTTGTTCTGTTTAGGCTTGGTTAATGCAAGCCAATTTTGTAAAACCGTAAGTTTGGAGCAAAAGAGGGATATATTGGTTTAGTTAAGTTGATGACTGTGTTAAGGGATATTGAAGGATCGGCGACTTAAAAAACACCGAGGTTGAAATACCAAATTAATTAAAAGGGAAGCCTCATATTCTAGTTATTCATTAAAAGCCTGAATTTTCCATCAGTACGTGACTGCGTCACACGTATTCTGTATTTTTTGTTGAAAATTTGAATTTTCGAGACATTTGTTTCTAGAAGTCTGACTTTTCGGGGTAGTATTATGAGAAAATAGAAATTGGAAACTTCTAACTAAACTATGAACTGAAACCTGAAAATTCGACAAAAAATGGCGCTCGCAGACTTCTGAAGAGCTCACTGTGATGTATAGATGGATTTCACATTAGCGCTGTCTACGTACATCCTCTGTGTTGAACTTCCTCGTGTGCGCCCGCAGAGTCGACACAGTATATGCAGTACCCGGTTCGTAAGTGTGATACCACTTCAGTTTAAACCACGCCCACTGAACAAGATACACGGCCATCGCAGGTACCTTAGTTCGCGGTAAATTGACGTTGTTTTTTTCTTTTGATTTCACGTGTCCAGTCATTCTGAAAGACTCTTCAACAAAAAAGTGCAGCCTGAAAAGTCTGAATGTAACATACCTTTATGTATTTTATGTCTTAACTCCTAAGGCTTACTCTCAATCGTCTAATCGTATTAAGAAATGAAGCTGACACGTACAGCCTCGTTTTCAAACGCGGAAGTGCGCTGATCGACGCTAAAAGCGTCGTATTGGGATCCCTCTATACTCAAGTCGTTCTGTCTTAAAAGTGTTGTTTTGGTCCAAGTCCAAAATCGATTCCGAGTGCACTCAGCGTGCTGTGTAGTCCTCTTTACAAGACTTTCCTGTTGTTTCATTTGGGAACCATAAATAATGCGACCATCGCCGTCAGAGGGCCCCTTCAACGAACCGCGCTCCACTCTCGTCACGTCACACACGTATTGTACAGTACACGCCTACATGTACATGTGTACATGTACTGTACATGTACACGCACGACAGTGCCATTGGTGCACATACTGTATTACATATATATGTAATACAGAAGAACACTGTACCCTCATTATGGCCCTTACGTCACAGCACGTCAAGCATCACGAAGTACGCATGCTTGGAATCTGGCCGGATTTTCACGGGGAGTTCAGGGTACAGTCTACTAATTCAAGCCCCATTGAAAACAGTGTAAAATCAGCACTCTTCAAGGCCCAATAACATGCACACCAACATCCCTGAGATTTCTGAAACACAAATGAAATTCTTGTCTT